TTGGCAAGCATCAATGCCTTTGCGTTATTTATATAAGCATTTTCATGTCATGGTGTCCTTTATATCTTTAAGTATATAACAGAAGAATCTCAATTTGCTGTTTAACCCACTAAATTACAAGAGGAATTTTCCAGTTTGCAATGTCTGTGGCAATTTACTGAGCAATGAAGCATTTTTTCACAGCCTATTTGTCTGATACATTGAATTTTGGATCAATTTTGCTGTAAGAAAAAAATGTTTAGTGAGTTTTTTTAGTAGCTTAGGATTTGCTCTGTTGGCTGGATTGACAGCTTTCGTCCTTGAGTTGGAAGTCTCTATTTAGGTTGGCTTTAATAGTAAAATTTGTAATCAGTTTCTGGAACCTTAAACTTAAATCTCTACTTTATTTTCAGTCTGGAGTACAGCAGGTTTGTTTGAAAGGAAACTGAGAAATACCAATGTCAGAGTAGATCTATTTTTAGAAGAATGTGCCAATGTCTAATAACCTCAGATTGTTTTCCTGTCCCACTCCACATTAATTTAAATTAATTTTAAATCCTAACATTTCAAATATCAGATAGTAAATTTTTTATTGTTGTTGAATGTTCAATCTATTTTTTATTATTTTTAGGTACTTGAGAATTAACAAATTATCTGTAGGACACTGAACTTGCAAAGCAGTATGCCTTTAGTTAGAATCATAGAATATCAGTCAAAGTTTAGAGTTGCCTTTGTTTTGTCTGTGTTATTTAATTACCTGTATCATTCACACAGCAAGAAAATGAATGTACTTCTCAAAACATTAATACAAGTAGTTTCGTTAACAGTAGATGGACAGGTTTATTTCCAATGAGCTTGTTGATACTGGTGTCTGGAAAGACACAAGTTCCAGCCTGGGTCTTTCTTGCACTTCTGGGACTTACATCCTTATTCCCTTCCAGAGCTAAGGAGCTTGAACTTGTAGAGCTGCCTTAATCTCAGGTGAGAAACTCAGCAGATTGTTTCCTGAAGCTTTCAGGAACTTAATTACTTCTGAGACCCCTACCTCTTCATTAGGTTTGATTAAAATCAGCAAAAAGTGCTAAAATTTTCAGAGGACACATAGAGGTGTCTATGAAGAATAATTGCATAAGCTTTACAAATTGTTCCTGCACCAACGGGCTGTTTTTCACGGACGCTTTTAAATTCCCTCATCATGAGGTGCCTGATAACTGGGCAGGTTTACTGCTGCCCTGCAGAAAATATAGTGCTTGAGTTTTTTCCTGCAATGTGTCCCATCTACCCTGCCTCCAATCTTCCTGAATTTTTTGCAGCTTAATCAGTGAGCCCACTACCTCTCCGTCAAATTTAGCTAATCTTGGTTGAGGTTTGGAACCTTTTGGGCAAGCAGTCAAGACTTAGAGACAGAAGCAAGGTTTCTGTAATCTTACTGTCCTGTAGAAATCTCACTAAGAAGTCTGTTCTAACAGACTCTCCTGTTAAATATAAGGCTGGACTTCATAGAATCATAGACTGACCTAGGCTGGAAGGGACCTTAGAGATCATCAAGTCCAACCTCCCTGTCATGGGCAGGGACGCCACCTCTCGACTAGACCAGGCAACACATGGGGACCGAGTGGGAATCGAACCCGCAACCTCGGTGTTAGTCCTTGTTGCCAGCACCGCGCTCAAACCACTGAGCTAATAGTATGATTGGCTGTAAGGCAGGAATTTGTTAATGTATGGCAATATTTTTTCTTTAGTATTTGAATGCCAAATTGAGCTTAATCTTTTCCATGTTAATAGCATTTGAGACTATCTTCATCTTGTGATTTAGCAAGCGTGCCAAAAAGCTTCCATTAATCCTGTTTCCCAAGGACCTCAGATAAAACTTGGTAAGTCAGAAATAAGACAGTGAATCTGAGCTCTTCTAGAATTGAATTAATGGTTTCTCGTGTAACAAAATCATAGAATCATAGAATGGCCTAGACTGGAAGGGACCTTAGAGATCATCTAGTCCAACCTCCCTGTCGTGGGCGGGGACGCCTCTCAACTAGATCAGGCAACACATCTGCAAAGGGAGGATATGGACAGTCTTAAGATGCAATAATCCTATAGACTTCATACTCATCTAAACATGCATGGAATAGTGTGTGAGCCAGAACATTCTGAAATACTCAAAACACTTTCTTTTGAGGACTTCTGACACTTTAAAGCAAGGAGCTAAAGCAAAGTAATATTAAGTGGAAAATACACTTTCTGCCTATCTTGTCAAAAAATCAAACTATTTGTTTTCTATTTCATTTTATGCTAACAAGTGACTTCTTCAGAATGTACAATTCTTTGGAATAATTTGAAGTTGACATCACAAGTTTTTTCATACTGAGAAGAAATTGAAATTCATGGTACTGGAGAGTAAGTTGTAACTAAACCATCTAGTTAGTGGAGAAGTTCTGGGTTCAAGTCCTTTTTTCTATAGAATTTTTATTCATTTTATCTCCTTATATGTAAAATACAAAGACTCTCATGGGAGCAGGACTTACCTGCTCTTGACTGAGCATCCTAATCACTGAACTAAAGCTGCTTGCTGTTGATGAGTGGCAAAACTCAAACAGCAGGGTTGGAGAGAATACCCTTCCTTCCACAGTTTCATGGGTTTTTTATGCCAGGCAATAGCCTGGCTGACAAAGCACTGCACTATGAGCTGTGAGTTTAAATAGCTGTAGACTGAGAAGGCCAGTTCTCTGTAGACCAATGCAAATGTTGTAACCATTAAGACATTCTGTAGAACAGCCTTGGACATTTAATGTTTGAAATCTGTAGTCTGATGCCTAGCACACTTTTATTTTTTGACACAACTGAGTATCGATACCAATCACTGATGGCTTTCAGTATTAGTTGCATCAGACCTCTGTTACTTGACGTGCTTAGTTGATTTGCATAAGTCAGTCACCAAGCACAGAACAGAGGCCTGAAAGGGAACTGGAGGTATGTTGTAGTTTATCTACCTGTTTCTTTCATCATAATGAAATTAATGAAAGTGACGTATTACCAAATACCATGGTACCTTGAGAAGGGTTGCATGTGGTTTTGTAGCATTGTAAGTTAAGGTCTGAAGTGTATGCATGGGTGTCTCCCCCTATCCCTATCAGCCCTGTGCGCTGCATTTCATGGGTTCTTGCTTGGGGGCTGAACCGATAACTGCACAATGGAGCTCTTAATCCACAGAAGGCGGTGAAACTTTCTTCTTTAAAATTCTCTTCCTAAGATACAAACCCCCCCTTACCCCACCACAGTCTCTGCTTTCAGCCATTCCCCTCCCCAGACCCACAGGCTGCTACTGACTGTATGTGTGGCATTTTTGGTTCTCTCTTGTGCTTTGCAAATGAAAAGAATGGATAGATGGTGGACAAAACTTGTTTCTTGCTCAGGTCTCTCTCACTGAGGTAGCTAGCACAACCCCAGCACTTAGGGAAGAAAAGATTTTGGAGAATCAGCAACAGTGAGTCTAGAGAACAGAGCAGGTCAGTTGGTCAGGACTGTGCACAATGGCACTGAAGACACAGGAGCAGTATTGTGGGAAATGCAGCAGTGTAAGTTCCTGATAACAATGATATGATTTAGTATTAATTATACTTAAAATCATGACATTTTTGTAGCCGTAGTATTTTATTCATCACTCTCTGATTCTACTTGATTCAAAGGCTGGGTCAACTACACATAGATCATTCTTGACAGAAACTCATCAACATGTCTAGGTAATCTTGTAGAGGTTTGCCACTAATTCTGCCTGGCAATTTATAGTCTACAAGATTATTTTATAGATTTAGGAGATTGTTTTTTTTGTAATGTCTGACAATGATTACAAGACTCTTTTGTCAATCAGTTCAGCTTTACAACATAAATATATCTTGGGCACATTGTAAATACTGTGTATTAAATAGAATCATAGAATCATAGAATGGCCTAGGCTGGAAGGGACCTTTGAGATCTATACATCAAGTAAGACTAAAATTTCCCCTTTGCATAGCTAGTGGATAGTTTCATCAGCTGACAATAAGTTTAAAAGAAACAGTGAAATTACAGTCATTTAAAAGTTTTGGTTTTTAAATGTTGTGGAAGTTGGAAATATAATTAAAGATAATAAAACTTGACTACTTCAGCTCATTTCAGCATTAAACTGAAATTATCTGAAAATACAAGAAGTTTTCAAAGAAATCTCAAAAAGTCACTAATACAGGTAAAGTTGTTATGAAAGACTTTCTAATAAGTAAGTTGATGATTTAACCTTTCGTGACTCAAAAGTGCCATTAAGAACTTCAAGGCACAAACAAAACCAGAAGTGATTGAGAAGATCATGCTCTCTCACTTAGCCTGGAGCAGTTTTTATACATCAAAGTTATTTCTCTCTTAACTTTGCATCGTGTGAGTCTTTTCTGTTGTTTCCTCCTCCCATTTTCTGAAGGAATCAGTTCCTTACAAAGTAATGCCACTGAATAAACAACTAAAAACTACTTCATTTTATCTTTTTTACTCTGAAAGAAGAGGTTAATTTATACTAAACAAAGGTTTCATACTATGAAGCTAGAAGGAACCCTTGTGATCATCTAGTCACATATGGATTTTTCATCCATATGACTACTGTGAATGAATTCCTTTGTGAACTAGAACTATCTTTTTGAAGAAAACTCCAGTCAGCAATAGTATTTATTCGAGCTTTAATTCAAGCTCTAGTAGTACAGCATGTAGCTTCTCACTCATATGTACCCTGAAACACTTACCTAAAAGACTGATGAGATTTCTCTTATTGCCACCTCCATCACAGCTGAAATTCTCTCAGAGGTCAGAATGAATTGAAAATTTTATGAATTGGACCTGGTACAAGAAGCAAATCTGGCGGCCCTTGTGTGTGTGCATATATGTGTAAATAGATTTAAAAAAAAAATAATAAAAGCCAGGCTTTTCTGCCAGTCTTCTCATATGGTTCCAATTACATGAAGACAAAGGCAACTGAATCTTCAAATGGTGTCTCTGTATTCAAGGATGATGTCAGCAGTGAAGATCTGCAGTGCCCCCCTGCTTCAGTCTTGGCAACAAGTTCAAAAAAGAATTCAGAGCATGAGAGTGAATCAGCTGTGCATAATGTGGACAAGCAAAGGTGCATCTCCCCCACCCTGGGTAATGCTTTGGAGCACATTGTGGAACAACTGGATGTTTTAACTCTAGTAAGTATGCGATAACAGGTAACACTTGCAGTGGAAAATGATAATGTGTCAATGGGAAAAAAAACCCAAGAACCGTGTTCATAAACCAGAATGTTCAAGTCTATGAGGTTATTTTGAGTGGTTGTACAGTCAAGAGACTGGTTCTTTTTTTCTTTTCCTTTCAGCAAATATTGATTTCATGTATTGTGTTTGCTAAAGTGAAAGCTTCCTGCTTCATAATCATAAAAGTTACTGTTGTATTTTTAACTTGGGAGGAAAGGAGTCACTATTTTTCAGTAGATTTGCCAGAAGCCCGTTGTTTAGCAGACATTGCCAGATTCCAGCCTGAACAGTTATGTATTAGCAGGGGGTGAATGGCATAAATTGGTTTTCAAACTTAGTGTTCAAGGTTTTTGCTTAGGTAGGAATCTAAGCAGTGGAATAATTCCTGGTGTCAGTGAAGCTGCCACAAATACTAGTCCTGATCAGTGACTCTAAGTCACTTGTTTGCAAACGCTTAATACTTCTTTTTAGTAATCTGGATTTACTAATCTGTGTTTTAAGATACTACTCTGAAGTCTGTAATATTAACATTAAATCAAACCAAAAAGGAGTGGCTAAGGTTTGGTTTTTGGTTTGGTTTTTCTTCTGTGTGCAAAAGCAATAGATATGTTAACTCAAGAAATAAATTTGGGAAAGTATGGAGTCAAGTATCAGTCGAAAATTATTTGTGTAGTAAGTTGGACTGAAAAAAGCACCTGTCAGCCTGTGTCCAGAAACCTACTTTTTCTGATGAAGGTAATCTCTTGGAGAATGCCTTCTAATAGTATATTTTTTCTCACTTCTTCTGAGAGTTGCTGTAGGAGTTTCTTTTAGGTTTTGGAAGACATAATTTGGGATGACCAGTACTGGCTGTTTTCCTACTGAAATACTCTGCAAAAAGAGTATTTCAGAGTAATTTGTATATGCACGTATGTATTTCTCCCACAGAAAATATTTTATGAAAACAATTTTAAACCTTTAGACAATCTCCATAAACACAAAGCCATCATTTTTAAATAGAGTTGTAAACAGTGGCATAGCTAAGGAAAAGCCGTCTTCAAGTATTTTTTCCTGTTGAATTAGAATTATTTTCCTTATTTTATTTTGTTGCACACTTTTATAATTCTGTGTGAGTAATATAAAACCAAATTAAAATTACTGTCCTCTTCATGCAGACTATTTCAATCCTGGAACAACGTCTGACTTTGACTGAAGATAAATTGAAAGATTGCTTAGAAAATCAGCAAAAAATATTACTTCAGGGAAAATAGGAAGAATGAAAGTTGAAAACTAACTGTATTGATGAGTATGTTTCATATATTCACAAGGAAATAATAAATGTTACTTCACTAGATTTTGCTGTAAGCAAAAAAAAATTCATCCTATTGTAACAAGTCAAACTAATAAAAACTGAAGAAAAAAAAAAAAGCACATTTTGAACATTGGTAGCAAGCAGATATTCTGGTTATATATTTAATAAAGCGTAGCACAGCCCAAACTAATGTTTTCTAAAATCATTCCCATTCAACATTACAAGACTCTTATTTCAACCTAATAAGATCTTTGTATACAACTAAGCAACAAACTACATATGTTTAGATGATTTCCAGTTGCTGTTCATGGAAGTGCACTGTACAGGTTTTTTTACTCAGGTAAGGGCTGTTAAAATAATGCTCTTTGTGCTAAGGTGACATTACTCAAGCACGTAAATGAAATAAGACCTAATTAGCACTAACTCAAAAAATGCCAGTCTTTTTCTTTGTCCCTTACATACTCTGAAAGTAGCGACAGTTTCTCTGCATCTTCTAAACATTTCAGTGATGACTGCAAGATGTAGTCTAAAACCTTTTAGTCACAAATATGAAAATGAAGTCACTTAAACTTCGAAACTATAATTGTATCTGTGTGAATTCAGCTGCAAGACTGATGCAGCCAAGCACTTCTGTTTATTTTATTTCCATCAAAATTCATTTTTCCTATTTGGAAAAATAAAAATCAGCTTCGTACTTCTGAAGAATAAATCTGAACCAAACACAAAATTATGCAAAATCTATATCGTAAAGGAAAAAGATTCTCATCTTCCAAGGACTTCCACAGGTGCTCAAGCTGTGCATGCTGTGAAAGTCCCCCATCAGTTAATGCATTATGAATGAAGCCATAATTCAGGAGAGTCTTTGCAATGTATGATGCTTTTGGTTTTTAATAAAAAATCAATTTTTAGAAAGATGACTGTAAATCTTGTTTATTAACAGAAAACATTTATGGTCCTTTATGTCTACCTATTTTTTTTTAAATGGCAGCTGCAGAACACCTGTTGTAAATCCACAATTAAAACTAGGTAATCATCTATTTCTGCAACTTCACATTTTGTATGTTGAAAAATAGGACGCTTGAAATGGGGAGAGCATTTTAATCCAATTCTGCAACTGACTCTATATAGCTAAAGCCCATTTCCCAGGCTCAACCTCATTAACATCAGTAGAGTTCAGCTTAAGTACAGAAGCTCACTGTGCAAATACTATTGCAGTTCAAGCCAAAGTAATCAGTAGTCGATTTTTCTTTTATAACTTTTCATTTTTTCTCATAGTAATCACCTTCAGATAGCCAGACGTCATCTCACTTGCATGGTACACTCTGAATTTTAGCAACAAGGGCTACACATTTTCAGCTCAGTCTCAAGTAGTGCTGTTTATCACGAAGAAGCTGTATCCTTTTACAAAAATTTTTGATGCAACTATTTTTATGCAACATTCTAGCCACAGATTTTTTGTAAAAGGGTGGTCTTATATATTCCTATGGAAACAGCCTGACCTTTGATTATTCAATTGTTTATAATGCTATATAACACATAGTTATGTAAATACTGTCTTTTAGGTCAGATGTGCTTTGCTTTATGCATTTGCAAATACTCTTGTGTTCTTCGCCTTTTCTTGGCTCCATTAGAAGACACAAAACCATGTAGCTATTGAAATCCTTTCCTTATTTCTTGTTTTCTCTGAGTGGACTATATATATGTTTTAAATCTGTAGATTTTTTGTTGTTATTAAGCTTTTTCAGGATTGTTTATCAACAAGATTTGGAAATTTCTTTTACTTTTGTATTTTTTAATAAAAACTCTGCTGAAATTTTCCTTTCTGCCTTAGCTCCTGTCACTAACCCTTCTTTCTTTTCAGTACCTATTATCCAGAGCATGTACTACTTAATCCAGTTTATTCCTCTGCTGTTTGTGAATCTGGTGAACTAACATAATATTTCCAAATTAAGATATGTTCTTGTCATTCTATTGGATGGTCTGTTGATACTGAAGCTCAACATGCATGGCACTTGGGATGTCTGTGTAACTAGAGATGGGTGGCTGAGAACAGGGTGGAGGTATTTTCCTCAAGCTGTGATGGCTTTCCCTAAAACACAACCACAACCAGCTAACATGATGTTTCTTTTATAGGAATATTGATGTGGGCTAGTTATCTTATTCTCCTGATGCATATAATTTCAAATATAGCTATGGAATAGAAAAACTTACTATAAAAGCACCTGGAGAGGCTGGTTAAACTCTCAGAAGCATTTACTCTAGGGTTTGTGCTCTGGAAAATAACTGATGACTTGTCGAATTTGAATTATCTTACAGAGCTAGAGGAAAATGATTGCTGTTTAGCCTTAGCTGAGCTTCTGCACTGTGTGAAAAAATAATTGCACAGGTCTTTAAGTGATTATGAAAAGTATATCTGTATTGCAGACTGCAGTGAAATACTGAAAATCCATATTTGGTCTAATGAGCTGAATCACATACCTGATGCAGTCCAGCTTTCCTCAAGCTAAGTTATCCCCCTGATAGTGAATATAAATAGTCCACCTGCTGGAGAAAGACTGCTGTCGTCATCCAGGCCAGCTACTGCAGAAATGGCTCAATTACCTACACAAAAAAAATTTAAAAAGAATCTCGAAACCCAGTATCTGGACGACATGCAGTAGTAGATCCCCAAGGTTTGTCGGGGAGAGAAAAAAAAATAACCTCGGCTGCTGGTATTGCTGGGAAACTGCCTCTGGAGGAACCCAACTTCAAATTCCTGAAATGTCAGAGCATTATGCAGTAGCTCAGCAACTCACCATACGTGCTTCTGCAGACATTTTGAAATGAAAACACTCTTCCAAATTGAAGGAAATGCTGTCAGTTACTAGTGTCTTAAATTTTCTTTGTAATTCCAGTCAAAGATTAGTGGGGTTTTAATGGATTTATTTTTCTTGGGCATTACATAAAGCATGATACTGAGGCAATAAAGGTATTTTTCTCAGTTTTTCATTTTAGATGGCAACATTAGAGGTTCCTGATTATCACCATTGGGACAGACACTGAAAGGCTAAATCTTGCAACACTGCACTTTAAGGCACTTTTTCTTTTGATCTGAACGTGGAGGTTTTTGAATACCAGGGCAAAATTTGACTGAAACATCTGTTTATGCCAATAATCCGTTGTGCTTTATGGACCAACCTGACAACTCAAACTGTATTCTGGGTTTTCTGTTTTTTAGTTTTTGGAGTTTGTTTCATTTTTTTGGGATTTGGGGTTTGTTGTTGGTTTTGGGAGTTTTCTTTAAATACACCACTACATTCTCAAAAAATCTTCACTATTTACTTTTTACTACTGCTGACATATTTTTTACACACTTATGGTTTTGGAAAGCCAGTTCCTGGAGGGGAATGTATCTGAACAATTCCCTCATCTTTTGGGGATTGTTGTTTCTCACTTTTAGATGTGTAAGATAATAATTCATTGTTTAATTTGCATTATATTTATGATAAGAGATTTAAATTGCAGTTTTAAATTTTGATTAAGCTAATCTTCTGTGTGGGGAAATTGTGGTAGAGTAGATTCTCCTCGCCATTTTAGAATGGCCTGATCAGATCCCTGCAGCACGAGGGATTTGAGAAATGCAAGTTCCCACTTTTATTTATTCATATTTATTTAAATAAATAAGTATGCTATACTATTTATAGGTTAAACATTTTTTTTTCTTCCTATGAATCTTATTATAGAGTCTCTGAATGATTTTCATTGCCATATCACAGCACAAAACCACTCTTGGTTTTCTTACCGTAGCTGAGATGTGAATGTATTTCCAGGGCCACAGCTTTATGTAACCTGTTTACCTTGTAAGACTTGTAAAAATCAGTAATTCTGTACTCTTTGCCCCAAACAATTAATGAATATGTATGTTGACACTGGATCCAGGAACAGTATGTTTTTGTCAGAGTGCCCCCTCAGGGACTTTTGCACGCTTCGGATGCATAATACAATTGAAGCCATTTCTTTGTGAGAAAATAGGTTAATGACTTGCCAAAAGGCAGATGTTAATTGGAGAAAGTGCATACAAGTCCTTTTCTTTACAATGTGTATGGATTGCATTTGTTATGTCTCGAATCCAAGAACAGGTGCAATTTCAATTGACTCAGCTAACAGGATGTGCCAAGTACACTCCTCACCAATTTCACCAGAAATTTTAAATCCTGCAGAAAAGAAAAAAAAAAAAAAAGAGTTTCTAAACTAGTCAGTGAGTGATAAGCTGCATTTATTACCTGTTACAGAATATTTATAACTTAGTACTGAACTTACACTTAAGCATCTGAATAGTATGACAATAAGGTCTTTGATTATTTACCGTTGTTGAAAAATTTTTACTGGTGAGCACCAAGGAATGTTATACAAGAAGAATTGTGCCATCCCTTCTAAAATATTTCTTCTGTAAGATAGTCAGCAGCTCTAGGCAAGATACCACTAGTGTATTTTTAAATGCAACTTAAAACAGAAAAAAAATGTTTACTTTCACTAACACATTTCCTGCCATGAAGCTACACAATCAGATTAAGGTCTTCACCTGGCCTTGCTTCATTTTCCCTGTCTTCAGAAGCAAGAATTAACAAAAAACAAGTGAAAAAAAAGTTCTAGGTGTGTCAGGGTCAGAAGAGCTTCTGCTTGATAGTTTAACAGTTCGATTCCAAAGGTCTCTGGGGATTTCTAGGCTACTCATACAAGACAAGTGGAGCAGGAACTCGCTTTGGATCCATGTTCGTAACCTAACTTTGTCCTTCAAAAGTCATTTTCTCTCACCTGAGAAGGGCTGAATAAAAAATTCATCTGTCTGGGCAGCAGTGATGGTCTAGACCAGTGCAGGAACATCTAGTTCAGGAATCTCCTGGGAGCTTTGGCATTAACATGGGTACTGAGTCCCTTGGTGACTGTGGTCACATGAATTTCCTACGCCTATAGCCAGGG